TAACAGTATGTAATGGAATTACAATGGTGAACTCCTACCATCTTGTCTAGTGAAACTCTGTATTATCTCTACTGTTTATTGAAGAATTATTTTCTTATTCTCTTTAATGGTTTGAGCAATTTTTCATTCTTACATCTGATAATTTGAGCAATGTAGTTGAGGATAGCGATATGCAATGTAACAACCACTGTTGATTTGCATTAATTTGTCTTGAGACCCTGTACCACTTTGAATGTTCTTGCTTTGATTTGTTTATGTTCGTGATACTGGTATGCTGCTACCCTTCCATTTTTTTGTTTGTTTGTGTCTCATGTACTACTCTCTTTAAAAAAAAAAAAGAAATCCACACCAGAGGAAATATTAAAGGGAATTCTCCAGGAGGAAGAAAAAGGATGCCAGATGGAATCTCAGAAAGGCAAAAAAGAAAGAAGCACAATAAAAAGTTTTGTTATCTAGATGAATCTAAATAAATACTGATGGTTTAAAACAGTAAAATTAGCCAGGCGTGGTGGCACACTCCTGTAACCCCAGCACTTAGGAGGCCGAGGCAGGAGGATCGTTGCGAGTTTGAGGCCAGCCTGGGCTACAAAGTGAGCTCAAGGCCAGCTTGAACTGCATAGTGATACCTTGACTCAAAAAGACAAAAAAAAACCAAAACCAAAACCAAAACCAAACAGTAAAATTGTCTTGTGTAACAAAAACATTTGTAGATTTAAAATATATAATTACAGTGATATATACATTGAAATTAAAGTGATTCATGGTACTTGGCATTATCTAGAAAATGGTAAAAAAAATACCAATTTATCTTAGATATTAATGGGTCAAGGACACATGTTGCAATTTCTAAGGTAATTGCTAAAAGAACAGCAAAATACAATGTAACTCCAAGAAATAGAGGGGGAAATGGAATAATAAAAAATATTCAAAACAAACCAAGGAAGAAGGAAAAAAAGGAACACTAACTAGATTGTACAAATAGAAAACAAATAATAAGACAGCAAATTTAACTCTAGGGAAACTTCTTTACTCAGATAAGGGCTGTCCTCAGAGGGAGCCTTCGGTGCTTGTGTCTGGTACTAATCTGTCCTCTTGATCCAACTCAGACCTTCTGAGGCTTGTTGTCCAGTTTTTCAGGGGACAGCGATGTCATCAGTTTCCCTTGCTCCCTCCTTGGATAAACCTGCACAGGAAGCCCAGTCGTCACCAGAGGGCTGTTTCCCGAGGACCCCATCAAAGGCACATGGGGGAGACAATCTTCATGCCCATGTCCTTCCATGATGAAAGGCTAATGTGTGCATAGATGGAAACATTTGCATTGCCCAGTGAGAAACAGTCCTCACCACATTCTGCGCTCCACAGGGACAATTTCTCCCAAGTTGATACAGTACAGTACACTGTTTCTTTTAGACTGAGTGACGGATGAACACTTGGGCTGTGGCTTTACACTTGCTGATGTAGTTGTTCTCTGATCCCAGCCTGTTATTCAGCTTTGTCTTGCACTGAGCCAGTGTTCATTTATGTGTATGATTTGTGTGTCCTGGGACCTTTTCTGCGGACCTCTCCATCCTCATGCTGTCTTCTCTCCTGCTCCATTTGGCAAACCAACCCACCAGCAGGCTCTGTCCTCTGTGGAGTCTTTCCTTCCTTGGGCCCTGTCTAGCTGACCATGTGCAGTTGTTGTAGTCACATTGTATTGCAATGTTTAGTTCTGTGTTTTTACTAGGTTTGAATTTCTTTAAAGAAGGCTCTGTGTCATTGTATTTGAGTCTTACTATCTGAACTTAATAAAAGTTTACTAAATGCAGAAATAATGAGTTAACAAATAAACAGATGGTTGGTTTACTCTGCCTCAGTGGTGCACTATTACTAAGACCACCGTTTGGGTGTTCTGCTCAGCACTCCTGAGCTTATGCTAGTGAGTAATGCAAATGTCTCCGCTTGGGCACACTGAATTTACAATCCGTAATGAACTCTAAATTGAATTTATAATTGCTTTTATAATGCTGCTGCAGTCACGTTCATTCCAAATACTGACTTTCCAGATGCATGTCATAACCTTAATTTTCAATTTCACCCTATTTCTGTTAAGTGACATAAAAGGGAAGAGTGGTATGTGTTGAAAATTCCAAGCAAGAACTTTAATTTGTTATGTAATAGAGCCTGAAAAAAAACAGTTCGCAGTAAGATTCAGTCCAGGACCATGATTAGTTACTAATTAAGTTCAGTAGCTCAATACCAAAGCAAATGAGGGAACACGGAATTGCCAGAAAATGGGGAACCTAGTTCTTCCCACTGCTTCCAAGCCCTTTGCATTCAGGGCGCGTAGACCATTGCAGTATATTGCTGTTGTCTACAGCGCTCTGGCGTGGGGATGAGGGTACTGGCTATGCAGGCCAGTGGCCCCCGGCTCCAGTCTGCTGTGCTGATCAGTAAGGAGATCAAGGTCTCAGCACAGCCAGATCCTCCTTGTGACTCCTGCAGATTGAAGTTCAGCAAGAGGGAGTAGAATGTACCTGCAAGGACTTGGGGTCCTCATCTTCAGCCAAAGCTAACACTGAGAAGGGTTCAGAGTAAGCAAGAAACGTGTGCTAGCTAAATTTTAGATCTAGGATTTCAACTCTGGATGCAAATTGAAGTCATCTGAGAGCTTTTAAACCATAAAAACATGACAATGCCCAGACGCTGCACTTGCACATTAAATCAGAGTTGCTGCACAGCAAGGTGTGGAGTGGTTCCGGTATTACAGATCTCCCTGGGCTTCAGGAGTGTCTGAGTTGAGGACACGGATGGAAGCAGTGCTGATGACAATGAAGGGCTAAGGAGGCATAATTCTAACTCTGTGTCTTTTTGAAGAGCACCTTAATACTGATGCTTGGCGGTTTTAACACAGAATTTTCTCTTTCTGTTGGTATAAAAAGGTTTAAGCTGGTCACTCATTTGGGTTTATTTCTGAGTGTGTAGCCGTATTTCTAGGATGAAATAGTCGTTGGAGTTTTTATCTCCAATTTAATGTTTATGTAGCACTGGCAAACGTGTCTACTTCATTGGTTAAGAATGGTAACAGTGGACATTTTACAATGAAGCCTTGAAGGGCAGAGGTGGAGGATGGTGGAGGATAAGTACTCTAAACGGAGAGCAGCAAAACTGCACATGAGAAAGAGGGAAAGGAAATTCCAGATAAAGCATTGCAGATCAACAGACAGGGGACAGACAGGCCTCGATGGCAGCTAAAGGGGCAGCCACAGCCCGCCATGCCAAGGGGACAGGAGAGTGATCCAGGGGGATGCCTCTTCAGACCTCTGTGCCTGTGAGCATGCTTAGGCTGCTTTGCTCTCTGGTCAGGGACTGCATGGAGGGCTGAGTACAGATATTGCTTATTGAGCACTAGCTACAGGCCTAAGACTTTTACTTAGCATTTCATGTCCTCACAGCAACCCCACAGGTGGGTTCTATTATTTCCTCTGTTCTACAGATGAAGAAAGCGAAGCACAGCAGGCTGCATTTTGGGGGTCATCTCTCATTTATTCAGTGACCTATTTTTTGTTTATCCTGACTCAGAGATCTCATAATATATTTACTGGACAGTGAATTGTATATGATTGAGTGTCACCTGGTGGTGGGAATACATTCTGAGAACTCCACTGTTTGGCAACCTCGTTGTTGTGTGAATATGACAGCATGTACTTCATACAAACTTGGGTAATAGGGGCCATTCATTTCTCATCACCTCCTGATGCAATCAAAAGACGGCATAAGCTGTATGAGGCTGCTGCTGGTGTGCCTTGGCACAGATTTTTACAGTAATTTTTTTTAAGTAGAAGGAGTATATTCCAATATAAAAACACAAAGTATCGTATATAAACCAGTACATGCATAACCCAGCATGGAAATAATGTTGGAGCAATATTTTCATAGATATTAAGGATCATGATTAGTTACTAATTAAGAAAAATATTGGAGCAATATTTTTCATAGATATTAAGATGTACTGAGACTTTTGAGCAAGGAGCAGCATGATGGAAGTGTTGATAACCCTAGTCTGGAAGGTTAGGGCAACAGGCAAGTGTGACCCAGCTGAGCAGTTAGGAAGCAGATGGCAGCAGTCTAGGGGTGGTGTGGTGAAAAGCTAGTAGGTGGGTACAGGTGACAGAGGGCACAGGTGGAGGAGATGGAGGAGGACTCTGACCCCAAGTGAGGGTCACCAGAATCAGGAGGCCACCTGGGGAGGTGCTGCATGAAGCCCCAGCTTTATTTTTGAGGAACATTATGTCATTCTGGCCTCTGAGATTACTTTATTTGGTATTCTGACTTTAATATTTTAACTTTATTTTATACACATCTCTATTTTTAGTGTAGGTGGCAACATTGATCTCTATATTTTAATTTTCCATTAATTTTATATATGTATAATGTATTTACTTATTATTATAATTAAATGCCTATTAATACATAATATATACTTACAGATAGTATTCTATACTATAGGTTTTCAGGCCAGGATGAAGAGGGCAAGACCATGCAGGAGTGCATCATGTCCGATCCCACCTTTTCCATGGTGACGGTTCAACGGGAAGACAGTGGGATAACCTGGGAGACCAGTTCAAGTAGATCTTCTACTCCCTGGGTCTCAGAAGAGAGCCAGACTTCTGGCATGTGTAGTCTGGAAGGGTCAAATGTGAGTTCTCCTCCAGGAAGTGTTTCCTTTATTGTGGATGAAGTTAAAAAGGCTCGGAAAAGAACTCATAAGTCAAAGCATGGCTCACCATCATTGCGTCGGAAAGGCAGCAAAAAAAGAAATTCTTTTGAGTTCCCAGATGTTTCAGCAAACAAAAAAGACAGTTCTTTAACTTCAGAAAGCCAGGCAGTAAACACAGAGAAAGAGAAGTCATCTCCTGGCCTCTATGATAAATCAAGGAAAAAGAAGACCACCTCAAATATGCCTCCTATTACTGGGGCAATATACAAAGAACACAAACCATTAGTGTTAAGACCAGTCTACATAGGAACTGTACAATATAAAATTAAGATGTTTAATTCAGTTAAAGAAGAACTAATTCCTCTGCAATTTTATGGAACATTGCCAAAGGGTTATGTCATTAAAGAAATACATTACAGGAAAGGGAAAGATGCATCCATTAGTCTAGAGCCAGATTTGGACAATCGTGGTTCTGACATAGTTTCCAAAACAAGTAAATTAGTCACCCAAAGCACGGAAGATGGTAAAGTAGGAGAGCGTGGTACCCTCTGGAGAGGTACACTTTCCAAAGGATCAGAGTCCCTGACCTCATTATTTGGTCATGATGATGGAGAGAAAATTGATGCTGAGTCCTCCCTGAAAGGCACACCTGCAGCTGGGCCCGCAGCCTCCCACTACTTGAGTAACGACGCAGCCGCACCAGGGCTGCTGCTCAGATCCCCACAGGCAATGCCACAACAGCCAGGGCAAGAGTCAGAAGCCCATGACGAGGGACCGTCTTCTCCCCCTCCTGAGGTATCAGTGGCTGGGTCCCTGGAGACAGCAAAGGAAGAGTCTGAGGCTGAGGCAGAGGGAGCTGTCGGTTTGGAGATGGACTCTTCAGTCTCCTCAGCCTTGGTAGGTGAGGTTATGAAGGAAGTCATGGCTTCTGCTGACCATGCCAAGTCACTAGAGGCAGAGAAGGATTTGTTGGGAACAGGTTCACTGGCTCTGTCACCACCTACCCAGGAAGCCCTTGAACCAGGCAAGGAAGAGCTACAGCTGGCTTCACTAGAAAAGATGGAGCCAGCCTCTGGACACGTGGCCCCCACTCATCCTGGTGTCCAAGGAGAGAAAGAGGAAACCGGGTTTATGCCACCCATTTCTCTTCATGAGCCCCTCCTGTGCCAAGAACCAGAACAAGAAGAACTAGAAACTTCCCCACCAATACCTGCTACTCCTGAACCTGAAGGTTCTGATTTGGAAGAAGAGATCATAGAACTTGATTACCCTGAAAGTCCATTAGTTTCTGAGCAGCCCTTCCCATCACGGCTGTCCCCTGAAGTGCTGCATCACGAGGAGCCCACCCCTGCATCGCTGACAAAAGCAGCACCTGACCATGCCACTCTGTCTGATGATGAGAGAGAGGAAATGGAGTCTGTTTCTCCTGACTCTGCTTTTGTGTCAGAGTACTCGGCCCCTCAGGATTTGAACGATGAACTAGAGAAGCAAGAATCTAAGCCAGTTTCCCCATCTAGCACAAAAGCCTTATCTGAACATGCAGCTTTGTCAGAGGGAGAGAACGAGGAGTTCAAGCCTCGCTCCCTGGCTGTGGCCTCAGCACCCGAGCACTCTCTCTCACCACCCACACCTGAGAAGCCTTCTGGAGGCCTGTCGCCGCTGTTTTCTGCAGTGCCTTCAGAGCACCTGGTCTTTTCAGGAGGTGAGGCCTCGGAAAGTGAACGTCACACACCAGATTCCACGTCTGTTTCAGAACATTCAGTTCCCTTGCATGAAGTGCAAGAGTCACTGAAAGAAACATTTGACAAGTCCCCATTAAAATCTAAAGGTGTTTCTGAGCATGTGATTTTGTCAGAAGAGAAGGACACCAGGTCACAGTATCCAGCTGTGGCCTCCGTGTCCAAGTGCTCTGTCTCACCACCCCTAATGGAGCAGACTCCTGAGTGCCAGAGCCCCCTGCCTCCTGCTGCTACCCTGAAACACATGGTCCTCTCAGAAAAAGAGGGTCTTCCAAGTCAGCCTCTCATACCAGATTCAAAATTGACTCCCAAACCTGAAGTCCTCCTACATGCAACACAGGAATCCCAAAAGAAAATAACTGATGAAGCTCCCCAGTTCAAATCAGAGGGCATTTCTGAGCACATGACTCTGTCAGAGACAGAGAAGGAAAGCACTGGACCATGTGCTCCAGATGTGGCCACTGCATCTGAACGTTTTCTCCCACTAGACACAGACAGGACACCTGGGTACCAGCCCTCACCGCCTGCTGCTACCCTGCAACACGTGGTCCTCTCAGAGAAAGAGGACCTCCCAAGCAAGCCTCTCATATCAGACTCAGAATTGACTCCCAAATCTGCAGTTCCCCTAAATGCAACACAGGAATCTGAAAAGAAGACAATTAATGAGATGCCCCAGTTCAAATTAAAAGACAGATTTGAGCACATGATTCTGTCAGAAACGGAGAAGGAAGATGTTGGCCCATATTCCCCAGATGTGCAGGTCCCTGCACCTGAAGGCTCTCCGCTGCCCCAGACACCTGAGATGACTTCTGAATACCAGGCCCCACCACTTCCAGGCACCCTCTCTGAACATGTGGTCCTATCGGAAGAAGAGACCACGGAAATGAAGCGGTGTTCACCTTCTTCCGCATCTGCTTCTGAGTTTTCCATACCACCGCATGCAACACCAGAGTCCCAGGAAGAAGAAATTGTCCAAAGATCCCCTCTACACCTCAAAGGTGCCTCATCACCCATGAATTTATCAGAACAAGAAGACATTGGCCCCTTTTCTCCAGATTCTGCATTTGTGTCAGAATTCTCATTTTCGCCCAGTCCAACTCAGGAAGCAGAAAAAAGAGAATCTGAGTGTGGTTCCCCAGTGTGTTTAACATCGCCTTGTGAACACATGGTTTTGTCGGATGAAGATACCGAAGATGCTGGACTTTTTTCCTCAGACTCAGCATCACAAGTTTCGGTCCCACCATACAAAATTCCAGAAACAGAAATGAATGAAAGTGAGCCAGAGTCCATCGTAACTACAAGGTCTGCTTCAGGATTCTCTTACTTTTCAGAAGCAGATGAGGAAGAGCTTGGATCGACAGCTGCGACACCCATCCCTGAGGATTTTGATTCATCAGAGCAGCAGAAAGCTGAGCCTTGTCCTGCCATGTCTACACCCGAAGACCTGAGCCTTCCATCCTCAGGAGACAAAGCCACCAGTGCAGCAGCTGGGACAGATGTTCAAACATTCTCGACATCTGTATCAGAATATTTCATTTTGGCACAACAACAGAAAAGTCAAGCACCTCTGGAGCCTGAGGCTGAAGATCTAGTTTCGTTATATTTAACCAATAGATCAGAGCAGGAAGAAATGAAGGCTAATTCATCGGCAGTTGCAACCCATGCTGCTTCAAATGTACAATCATCCCTGGCAAAGGAAGAAACCAAACCTGTTTTGCCTGTGCCTCAGTATTCAGTTTCACTTGATTCGATCCATGCAACTAAGAAAGAACAGGAACCCAAAGCGTCACTCACTCTGAAAGCTGCAGATGAACAGATGGCTTTGTCAAGAGTCAGAAAGGAAGAAGCTGTGCCCGATTCTCAAGAAGCTATAGCACATGTGTCACAGGATCAAAAACTGGAGCCTCAGCCTCCAAATGTTCCAGAGTCTGGGACAAAATATTCAGTTTTGCCCGAGTTGGTAGATGAGCCAAAGAAGGATGTCAAGCTCAGTTTAGCTCCAACTGTGCCTTCCGAGCTAGAACAGACCTTGTTGTCAAAGAATGAGCCTGAAGTAGTCCAAGCATACTCGCCTCCAAGGGAAAGCTCTATATCTGGACCTGAGGTCTTATCTGGAGTGAACACGGAAGTGAGACATGATTCCAAAATAGCAAGAGAGCTTCATTCAGCCTCATCCAGAGCACAAAAGGGAGTTGAACATGGTCCACCTACACCAACACTTTCAGCTTTGTCGGAAGAAATAAAGAAAGAAATGGAACCCAGCTCCTTGACAACCACATCTGTAACTAAATGTGATTCAAACTTAACCACATTAGTAAAAGATATCCCCACAGGTCCATCTCCTGCCACTCCTGTAGAAGAACATCTAGTCTCAACAAGAGCAGGGAAGGGTGAGTTGGGAAGTGGTTTGCCAGCATTCCGCAAGGGTAGAGATGAGCATTCCATTCTCAAAGAAGAGGAAAAGTTAGCAATTACAAGTACTTCTTCTCAAATTGAAGCTTCTTCATCCAAAGGTTTGGTTCCATCAGAAGTGGAGGAGGAAACCAAAATAGATTCACCTCCAAGTGTGTGCTCTATCGCAGAGCACTCTATCTTGTCAACAGTAGACACTGAAGAAGTGCAATCTAGCTTGCTAGTAAACCAAATGTCATCTCCTCAGCTTTCAGCTGTGTCTGAGGGAGTGAGTGGAAAAGACAAACAAGGTCTTTCATTATCTGTGGCCCTTGACTCCACACATGTGGTTTCATCACAGGGAAAAAACTCGGTTTCTACCTCAGAAGTATCAAGGCCTGAACCTGTTCTTTCATTCAGCCTGGGGAGTGGGACTGAGAAAGAAGAAACTAGACTTCTGTCATCACACACTGTGTCACCTGCACCTAAACATGTAGTTCCAAGAGACAAGAATGAAGTGATGACAAGTTCTTCCCCCGAGTTTGAGAACTTAGTGTCGGAAGACTTAGTCCCAACACCACAGACCCTTGGGGATGATAAGAACAAACAAGTATGGGATACAACTTCTGCAGTTCATGGGGATTTTCTGTTGGGAAAAGAAGATCTTGCTCCAGCAGAGCTCCCTTTGGAGTCTGAGAAGAAAGACAAGCTGCACCAACTATCAGAACTATCAAAGGCTGGGTCAGAACTCACTGGTGGTTTAGGCAGACAGAGTGAACCTGTAGACACAGAACCAGTAGCATCTCTTATAACAGATACAGAAGGTTCTATTTTGGAAAAGGGCCTAGCTGAGCTTAGGAGCAGAGGAGAAGAAAATGAAGAAAACAGGGAACTTTTTGTGTCTGCTACAGAACCATCAAAGATTGCTTCTTTTGACCTCCATGCAGAACAAAAGAAGCCTGAAAAAATGCTTTCTTCAGATCAAGCTGTTGATTTGTCTGATGCGAGCACCTCATGTGAAGATAAGCCAGATCTAAATATTGAACAGTTGCCATCCATGAAAGAGAACTTGCCTTGGGAGCAGTCACAGTCATTTGTGACCCCTGAGCCTGAGCCGCTGGAATCCTCCAGCCCCATTGATCTGCTCATACGGCAGCTCCAGGCTGCTCCGTCAGATGAGGGCCGCACATATGAAATTGGGAAGCAGGTTCTGCCCCCAGCTATGGAAGAATCTCATTTGCCATTAGAAGAACCAGCATCCACTCCTGGTACTTCTGAGGGTAATACAGAAACCTTATCAACTGAAACTTACTCTTTTGAAGAAATAAAGGTGGTCCAAGAAATAAAGTCTCTGGGTCCAGCTGGAAATTTAGAAAGAAATACACAGAAGGGGCATATCCATCCTTTCATGGAGAGTGAAAGTTTTATATTGGAGAGAACAGACACTGACTTTTCCAGGCCTTCCAAAGAAGGCATCCAGGAAGAAGTCAAACCACCTCCTGAAGCACCTACCCAGGAACCAGTGTCTGGCCCATCAGCAGAACCAGTGAAGTTGGAAACCACCCCCTCTCCTGTCAAAGCACCCCATTTCCTTGTGGAAGCTGTGGAACCTGCACTGTACAGTGAGAAAGAAGCACACAGGGACACTCCCCCAGAGAAGCCACAAGAAGAATCGAAAATGGTTCCGTCAAAGATTATAGATGAGGAGGCCAAGGGAAGGAAATCAGTGCCTGAGGTGAAGATACTCACCCAAACAAAACCCATCTGCTCAACCCAGGCCGGAGAAGACCATCAACCCCCAGAGACACCTGAAGTCACGCAGCACCTGCACGAGAAGCCAAAGGTGGCTGAGCAAAGGCTCCCTGAGGAAAAGGGGAAGAAAGGACTTTCCTCTTTCAAATCATGGATGTCCAGTTTACTTTTTGGGTCAAGCACCTCAGATGCCAAAGTTGCTGAAAAAGAAGATTTAGATACCCAACAAAGTCTCTCTGTAGAAAAAGCAGTGACTGTGATAGAGCCTAAAGGTAAAATTCCTGCTGATTTTAATGCAACAGAGAAACCAGCTAACCATTCATTACCAGAGGTGTCTAGCGAAGATTATAGGAAGAATGAAATCCCGGACTCTTCGGAGAAAATGGGCATAAACTTAGTTACTTCTGCAGATAGTGAGGAACATCTCAGAATTCAACCGGATAAGAGATTGGTTATGGAGGAAACAAAAAATATTCCTTCTCATGTTACTGAGAGTAAAAGATACCAGAAGCCCACAATAGCTCCTCCAACTAACTGGAATATTTCTATTCTTAGAAAAGGACCAAGTGGTGATGAAAAGGAAAAATCATTTTCATTTGACGTAGTAGATAAGATGTCACAACAGCTAAAGACAGATTCGTTCAACTTCACAAATAAAAATATCATGAAGGAATCAGAGAAGCCAGAGCCAATAAATTTACCAGTAGAAGAATCAAAAGGCAGTTTAATTGATCTTGGTGAGGACAGATTAAAGACAGAAGTTCCCAAACTGACTTCCTTGAAACTTTCTGAAGAGGAAGTAAAACTCAGGCCCGTCAGCCCAAAGGAGCAGAAAGGTAACTTGGAAACTGGATCATGCACCTTAGCAGAAAAGAGTGACCTGGCAGACAGACAAGAAGTAGCGTTCCCCTTAGAGCTCAGACAAAATAAAGAGTTAGTGAAAGCACAAATGACACAAGAATATAGACCTATTACATTAGAAGAATCAAAGATTGCTGCTAGGCTGGAGCACATCTATCCAAAAGAAGACCATAAGGAAAGAGCCAAAATTATTGTTTGTTCTGAGGAGAAAGGAGAAGAAAAAGAAAAGCAGGCACAGGTATTTTGGGAAGAAAAGAAGGAGCAGGAAGATCAGCCTTATTCTCTGAATGTGGCCAGGTGTGTACCTGAAGAGCCAGTCATCTCTCCTCTTCATTCTTTGGGTGACGCACAACCATTTTCATTCATTAAAACAACAGCAGTTACTGAAAAACCAGAAAGTGTGCTTTCAGAGGCTCACCCAGGAATCAAGGAAAGAAAGGTATTAGAAAGCCAGCCACATCTGTTAGAAGAAAATGAAAGTTTTGTGAAGAAAACAAAGACTTTGTGCCCAGTGAATCTTCCTTACCATGATGAAATAGATAAGCATCCTTCACCTCTGGAAGAAAATCTGGTATTAGAAAAGCCAAGCAGAGATATAGCGGGTCACAGAGAGGAAAGAGGTCACAGTGTCACAGTGTCACAGCTGTGCACAAGTGGCTTAGTAGCCACCACAAAAGAAAGCATGAGGCGAGCATCTCCATCTGAAGAACCTGAAAGGACTGTGGGTCATCCTTCTGATGATATGGAAAGCTTAGAAATGCCACTTTATTTACGGTCATCTGTAAAACCACAAACTCATGTTCCAGGAGTTTGTCCAGAAGTTAACACAGAGAAGAAACAAGAAATGCCATGGTCAGAGTTGACTCCAGGTCATCCTACAGTCCACACTATTCAGACATCTGAAGATCATCCATCTGAGATGCTGAAGCAACCTGTTCTGGTTTCAAAGCACTCCTTGGAGACTATGGAAGATGCCCACATAAATAAACCAGTCTCTTCAGCAGGGAGCAACTATGCTCAATTTATAATTAGTGCATCAAGAAGCACAGCTGATGAGATGGTTAAAGAAATGTCCACGGAGCCTGAAGACACATATGCAAGAGATGTAGAATCCACAGTGACCAGTAAACCAGCTGGCCTTTCACAAGATCAGAAGAGTGCCTTCAGTATAATTTCTGAAGGGTGTGAGATATTGAATATTCATGCACCTGCCTTTATTCCTTCAGTGGATCAGGAAGAATGCGAAAAAATGCAAGATAAGTTAGAGTATTTAGAAAGCAAAACTGCAATAACCCTTCATGATGATAGTGAGGCAATTGTTCGCCACAAAATGTTACAGAGAAATTTAGAAGATTCTGGTGGAAAAGTTACACAATTGAAGGAGAATGAAGAAAAGGGAGCTCATGTTACAAAAGAGGAGCTATCCTTGGACTCAGACACTGGTGACTTAGCTTTTATTCAGCCCACAATTCCCAGTGAAGAAGATTACTTTGAAAAATATACTTTGATCGATTATAACATCTCCCCAGACCCAGAAAAACAGAAAGCTCCGTGGAAATTAACTATGAAAGAGGTGCTGTCAAAAGGAGCTACAGGAGAAACACTCACTTTTCCAGAAAGTCCACAAGAAAGTTCTCTAGAACATGCCTATGACCTAGTGAAATTAGATGAAAGTTTTTATGGCCCAGAAAAGGACCACAGCCAGTTATCTCAGCCAGAGATGGAAAAGTCTTTGGTTACCCAACACTCAGCTGACAGAAATGCTTCAAAGAGCATAAATAGGGATGTAGACTCCAGGTTGCCTGGGATGCCTTTATTTGATACGGAGGAAGGGGTTTTATCCAGAGCCCAGATATTTCCGACCACTGTCAAAGCTGTCAATCCTGAACTCCTGCAGGAGCCACCTGCACTTTCATTTCTATATAAGGATCTGTATGAGGAGGCAGCTGGGGAGAAGCAGAAGGAAGAGGAGAGAGCTTCTGAAGGTGACAGTGTGAGTTCTGAGGCACCATTTCCATGCAGAGATTCTGACACTGATGATGGAACGGGAATGTATTTTGAGAAATATACACTCAGAGATGACATTCTCCATGACACATCTGTAATGCATAAGGACCAAGGCCAAGGTCTAGAAGAAAAACCAGTTGGTAAGAATGATTCATACCAACTGATAGATACAGAAGAGGAAATTTGGAGGAAATCTGGAACTATTTGGGAAAAGAGTCTGGATGAACAGAAGGCTATTTACAGGGAAGGAGAAGCTGTGGGCCATGTGGAGACCTCTGATGACACAGCAGTGCAGGCAGCTCCCATCACTGAGGAGGTCAGTGTGGTTGTCCAGAAGATAAGCTATGCGGTTCCATTTCAAGACGACCGCAATGTTCTGGAGAGTATAGCTGAGGTGAGCACTCAGGGTCATGAGGCAGGAAACACTAGTCCAGAGGTCAGTCAGAATGTCCCAACACAAGTGTCTTTCACAGACGAAGCGTTTGCATCAAGTGCAGCTTATATTCCAGAAACACCCCAAGAAGAACCTCAAGTACTGGTCTCACCCACTCCAAGTGAACAGCGGTTCCGAAACAGCCCTGTGCAGGATGAGTATGAGTTTGCTGAACCCCTGAGTTATGAAGTGGTTAGTCAGGACATTCTACCAGATGTGCCATACTCAGACTCTGCAAACGAAGATGTGTTGTCTCACGGGAAGGAATTCTTTGAGCACATTAGGAAATGTGAATTTCTCTCTGAGGCAGAACAGACTGTGTCTGCTGACCAGAGTGAGTTGGGCAGAAGGAGGACAGAACAAGACCAGTTGTCATCAGAGTTAGTGACTGAGAAGGCACAAAAGGAACCAAAGAAGACCCAGATTGACACCTATTGCTACACCTGCAAAAGCCCAGTTTCCACAATGGACAAAGTGTTTGGCACCCACAAAGATCATGAGGTTTCGACGCTTGACACAGCTATCAGTGCTGTTAAGGCAAGTTAACTTTGAATCATAATATATATATATATATTTTTTTTTTTTTAAAGAAAAAATGTATTTACATTCACATTTTTTCAATTAAAAAATGACTAATACTTGATACATTCATCTTTATGGAGAATAGCCAGAAAGCAAACTGAGAATCATTCCCCAAGAATTTAGTTGAGATTGGCTTGATGGATATTTATGGAGTACATACTATATGCTGGGCATTTTTCTGGGTCCTGGGGGATACCAAGAAATAACATGGGGTCACTGACTTGGGGGGGAGCTTGATCTCATAGCAGTGACTCCTAACATTATAAAAATATCATATCATTTTAGATTTAATAATATACCTTTGAGTATAAAAGACAACTTATTTTCTGGCATCTGTGGTTGTTCTTTAAAATAATCATGTATATTACATAGAGCAATTTTTATTTTAAGACATAAAATACTCAAGTAAGATTTTTAATGCTGATTTTTCCCTATTTCCTTTTTTAATTATAAAATTTATGTCATAAATGGAAACTCTTTGCATTCTCTCTGGCAGTGGCTATAGGACCCTAATCTAGATATGTTAGTCCCTGAGCATATCCTTAGGTGTGTGGATATAAATTCTCCACCTCCCTAGGGACGCTGTTGGAAGCCACCATTTAGTTTCCCATCCATCCTTTCAGTCACTTTCTGACTGGTTTCCATGATCCTGCCTCTTTAATCTCTTCCCACACTAGTGCCAAGGATGTCCTTGAAAATTAGCAAGCAACAAGAAGAACTGAGCATTTACTGTATGCCAGTGTGTTAAGTTCTTTATATACAGGATTCCTTTTAATTCTCTTTTTTAAAATTTATTTTAAAAATAAAACAAGGAAAACATATTAACAAACAGACATCCATTTAAAATATAGCATAAGAACAATACAAACAATACAGAGTTACAAACAAAGTGGTAAGAAATTAACAATGGTTGTTGTATTACATATTGATATCTTCAAGGTGGTTTCTCAGGAAAACAAATAGAGACATGCAATATTGATCAAAAAGTAATCATTAAGTCTTCCTTTCAGTAAAGCAATTGAAGACAGTAGTGCAACTATGTTAGCTATCCTGTATATACATACATGCATAATTTCTCCTTCTTTCCCTTCTCTGTTCCCACACCCCAGTTGCCCTTTACTTTTGAGCATTTTCCTTTCCTTTCACAAAGTCTATCATACCTTCTATTTTTATTCACTCTTTCAGGTTCTTACACTAGTGAGACAATACGTTGCTTACAGATGCGGTTCTGATTTATTTCACTTATGAGTATGGTCTCTAGTTGTGACCATTTACTTATAAAAGCCTCGAGTTTATCTTTCTTTATAGCTGAGTAATATTCCATTATATAAAAGTACAATAATTTTTTAATCCAATCTTCAATGGATGGACATTTGGGTTTCTTCCACAATTTAACAATTACAGAGTGCACCACTATGAACATGGGTGCACATATATCGCTGTGATATGCTGTTTTCAGATCTTCTGGAAAAATACCCAGAAGGGGAATAGCTGGGTTGAATGGGTCCTCTAGACCTAGTTTGTTGAGGAACCTCCAAACTGATTTCCACAGTGGTTTCACCAGCCTGCATTCCCACCAGCAGTGGA